TATTAAATAGATAAATAAGCACAAAATATACAGTCATATGGGCTCTCGAGAAAAACAGGGTAGGACCGGAGTGATAGTAGTGGAGCTGGTGAGAAATGGCTGGATTCCGGATATACTTTGAAGGCAGAGCCAACAGGATTTCCTGAGAGATTGGATGTGGGGTGTCAGGGGAAAAGAGGAGTCAAGGATGACCCCAAGATTTTTGGCCTGATCATCCGAAGGATGAGGGAACCAATAACTAAGCTGGTGAAGTCTACAGGAAGAGTAGGCTTGGAAGGGAAGATCAAGAGTTCAAATTGATGTGTTAAGTGTGAGATGTCTCTGAATCATCCAAGAAGAGATGTCAAGTTGAAAGCTGAACATATGAGTCTGCCATTGAGGGATGGCATCTGGGATGGTGATGCCAATCTGGGAGTCATCAGAGTATACAGATGTTATGTCCAGCCTTGAGACTGGACAAGATCACTAAAGGGGTGAGTGTAACTAAGAAAGACATCCAAGGACTGAGCCTTGCAAGTGAGGAAGTAGTAACCAGTGCAGTCCAAGACAAGAGAGTGTGGTGTCCTGGAAGCCAAGGCAAGAAAAGGCTTCCAGGGGAATGGAATGATCATGTCACATGTTGCTGATAGGCCATGAAGATAAAGACTGAGAACTGAACACAGAATTCAGCACCATGGAGGTCACTTGTGTCCTCAGCATCAGCAGTTTTGGTTAACTGGCCAGGACAAAAGTCTGATAGGGTGGGTTCAAGACAGACTGGGAGAAGAGGTTTTGGAAACAGAGGAAAGACAATCCTTTAGAGACGTTTTGCTATAAAAGTGAGAAGAGAAATGGGACATTGGTACAGGGGATGAGAGATCAGAGATTAAGATAGGAGAAATTATACCATGTCTGTTTAGTAGACAGGGGGAAACTGATAATGCAGAAAGGGAGGAAGAATTGCTAGACAATGTGTGTGAGTAGTTGAGAGCGATGGCACCGAGGAGTGGTTGGCCAAGAGGAGCATGGACAGTTCGTCCACAGTAATGAGGGAAAGGCAGAGGTTATGAGCGCAGGTACAGGTGGGTGTGGTGGGAGGTTTAATTCTCCTTATAAGTAGATATTATCACCTTCTTTGGATATAAGGCAAACTGAAACTCAAAAAAGTTAAATTCCCCAGTAAATGGCAAATCTGGGACTCAAGCCCTAGGTCTCTCTGATTCTAAAAACGATGTGCATTTCCACCATACCATAGCTGCCCCTCTATGTTTGCAGGGTGATTATACAAAATTTAGAATAATGAGAAACTATTTGTTCTGTAAACCTGCATCTAAAGTACAATAAAAAAAAATTAGAAGTTAAAGAGTTCAAGAAACCCTTGGACACGTTTCATTCTCGGCCTTTAATATAAAAGATAAGGTCATACATACATATGTATTGCTTTGAAGCACTGGAGTTATGCGGCTTCTCTGCAGAATTACATTTCAGTATGGAGAGGGACGCTGAGAGTCTCCAAAGTCCAGAGGCGTCAAGCAGTTGACTCCAGGTTGCCAGCTCGCGGGTCTTGATGCCTGGCCCGGAAGGACCACCCGGCCGCGTAGAGGACCCCGCGCGACGGAGCGCTGAGGCCAGTGGTGAAGACGCCTCCACTAGATGGCGCTCATCGCTTTCCTTCTCTTCTGGTTCTACCCCGAAGGAAGTGCTTCAACTGTCCAGGACGAATATTGCACATCACCCGCGCGTCGCACAAAACTTGTTCCATCACGTTCCAGCGCCCTCTACCCCAATATTTTGGAACAGGAGGGGATAGAACACGACGCGGGTTGCCCTCTCCACCCTCCGCCCCTAAGGTCACCCAGCGTTTTTCCGCAGCCTTACAGAGATGATTCCGATGATTCTGCTGAGCAGCCGGGATCCACAACTTTGCAGATGGGAGTGAAGAAATTATTGGGATGTTGGGAAAAGAGAGGAATATATTTTTGTAAAAATACAACTTGACAAAAAGCTGGTCCAGTGTCCAATAACTCAGTTGCCGAGAGCCCTAGGCAATGGAGAGTAACTTAATTTCCATGTGCTCCAGTTAGCAGGTTTAAACCATTTTCAGGTGAGGCATACATACACCTACATAGCTCACCTGTTACTACTCCTGTGTTTCACCCTAACAAACAACTGCACAAAACGTGACCACTTACAGATGCTTGAAGTCTGTGGTTGACAAACCCATCCCTGAAACACTTGGGTGTGTGCCCTAGTTAGGGCAAGTCAGGTGCTGTATCTCTTCAAATGAAGAACAATGTTATTAACCATAAAATCAACCCACACTCGTGAAAATTGGTCAGGGGAGTGGCTTTTTCCTGACTGGCTGAGTTTTTATACCTTTAGCTGTGTGATACCATCTCTCAAATGCTTTTCTACATGGAATGAACTAAAATTTTCAATCGTAGACTATTTTAAACAGGCCACAGTAAATGCTACTTATGATGGGAGTCTTCCAGGCATAATGTTGCTCTAGGGCTAATGTTTGCGAGGCTGGCTTAGAAGTTTCCTAGAATCATCTTTGATCACATATGAAATCACTGTAACAGGCTAATCTAATTCACTATTGCTTATTTTTGATTTGGAGAGGGTGGCTGGGGACAAGTGAAGGAATTAAGTATAATTGAGATGTAATCCTTACTGAGAAGTATTTCATGTTGGTGAGAGCCATTGGAACCTAATTCATTCAGCATTTATTGAGGTACCCATCTTGTGCCAGACACTGTTCTAAGCACTGGGAACACAGCAGAAAACAATTTTTTAAAAAAAGTGTTGCTGCCCTAGAGCTTACCCCTTATTGCAGGAAACCAACAAATAAGTCTTCTTACATGCACACTGTTAAGATAAAGGTATTTATTCACCTTATTGTCCTCAAAGCATGTGAGATGCCATGACCTGTGGTAAGATGGCTCAGGTTCAAGCCAGGAAGCTGAGACTTAATCCATTTTAATCACTAACTAGCTCAGTGATTTAGAACAAGCCACTTCGCAGTTCTGTGCCTCAGTGTCCCATTAATATCTTACCTTCCTCTTAGCTTTGAGAATTCAATGATAAAACATTGAGAGCTGCAAAAACATTACACAAATGCAGGTTTTCATTTTTTAAATTTACAAATCTCAGTATTTAAAGAGAACACAGTAAGATTAGAACTCTAACAAAAGACATCATTTACTTTCAGCTACCACTTACTTGTCTGAAGCAAAATCTTAGGAATCCAGACTATTCTGAATGTCTCTTCAAGGGATCAGGGCTAAGAAATGTTGTCAGCCCTGAACAGTAAACCCTGAGGATCTAAGTGTCTTCCTAGCCATTAGCCTCCTTTGGAGAGTAGCTTTAGGCAGTTATTTCTGCATGAAAGGACTGGCTTGCCTTAAGGTGTTGAATGAAGCCCAGACAGTACTGATCTGACCAAGCCCATGGCCTCCATGGATGGGCTAACACAAGGTCAACAGCCTCTGAAGTGTCTTTGTGCAAGTCTCTGTCCAATCTAGGGACACTCTAAGGCCTCTCTCAGGAGGTATGATGGGTATGAGATACACACAGTAAAGAGAAGACATTACACATACATCCTCTGGCCACTGTCTAGGCCAGAAGCCTACAGGACATCCCAGACTAGGAACTGATGGGGCTGAGCGACTTACAGCTGCTGAGATGATTTCCCGTGTTTGCTAACCTTCCCATTTCCCGACTTCACCATGCCTCTTGACAGTTAACCCCATCACCTAGGGGCTTCACCACAGAATGATTTTTCCTTTTTCATGAAACAGGTAGAATTAATACTGTCCATTGTCTATTGACCTGGTGGCACAGTGGTTAAGAGCTACAGCTGCTAACCAAAAGCTCAGCAGTTCAAATCCACCAGCTGCTCCTTGGAAACCATATGGAGCAGTTCTACTCTTTCCTATAAGGTCACTATGAGTCACAATCAACTCGAAGGCAACGTGTTTGTTTATTGTCCTAAAAGGAGCCCTGGAGGTGCAGTGGTTAAGAGCTCGGCTGCTAACCAAAAGGTTGGCAGTTCGAATCCACCAGCCAATCCCTGGAAACCCTACGGGGCATTGACTTGACGGCAAAGGGTTTGTGTTTTTTTCTGGTTTATTGTCCTTGAGCGCAGGAGAAACATGTTGCAGTCGGCTTCCATAAAGAGTTACAGCCTTGGAAACCCTATGGGGAGGGTATACTCTGTCCTATAGTGTTGCTATGAGTCAGAATCCGCTCAATGGCAATGGTTTTTTTTTGGTTTATTTTCCTTAAGTATACTGAGATCTGTATGTTTTCTTAGAAAAGTTACGTGTGGCAAAAGAAAGAACATGTAAACTCTGCAAATTCCCTCTGCTTCAAAATTACACTGGCTTGCCATTTTATGTTTCTGTTGGAAAATCAGGAGAAATATACTCCATCACTGGCCCAAATGCAGTAAAAGGACTATGGGTCAATACTTTCTCCACAAGGAAAATTACTAAAAGGATCAGAACACTTCCTTTTCCACATTCCCCACTCACATCAAAGTTTGGTGTGGACCTCAGAGGTGGACAAACATCTGTGACCACCCTCAAAGGCAAGGAATCTTGTGAGTCCAAGACGGTTTAGGAAGAAATCTCACCTTCAGCAGAGCTGGAAGCTGTGAAGGAAATATCTGAATGTTGCTTGGTACTGTCTTTGATCAAAAAAAATAAAGGGGTAGTAAAAACCCTTTGACTGATCTCTCTGTCCTGAAACTTCTGTTGTCTCTTTAACTAAAAGAATCTGTGTAAGGCCTAGCCCAGCCCAGAAAGGACAAGCACCCCTAATTTTGTCAGTGACTAGGATATTTTAACTCAGATCAAATTAGCAGGCTGCACATCCTCCCTCAGTTCAGTTCAATAAATACTTGCTATCTACCTACTGACATGCCGGAGCAGATACTCAAGACCCAAAGAAAAATAAGACCTAGCTTTCGTGTCAAGAAACTCATGGTCTAGCAGAGAAAAAAGCACACAGGCAAATAACGGTGGCACATCATTTCATTTATTCTCCATTTTACTGATAAGAAGCCAAGGTTAAATCATTCAGTACCCAAGGTCAGCCAGCCAGTGATCACAGCCAGAATTAAAACCACAAAATCTCTTATTGAATCAACCATATGAGACCAAAAGGGCAGCATTTGCCCGAAAGCAAAGTTCAGAAAGCACTCAAGGGCAGGAAAGCTGGGCGAATGGAAACAGGGACCCCAGCGAGGAAGTGGGGAAAGTACTGACACACTGAGCGGGTAGCAACCATTATACTAAACAAGCTGTGTATGAATTTTTGAATGGGAAATTAATTTGCTCTGTAAATTATCACCTAAACCACAATAAACACAATGTTATTTAAAAAAAAAAAAAACCCTTATTGAGACTACAGTCATGCCTATACTATTCTATTCAGTAATATTATTTAAATTGAGCTTGTGCGATGTTTAATGTAATATCTAGAGAGCTAAAGATTTGGAAAATCCTGTCTTCCATCATCAAACAGTAAGGACATGGTCATGTTAGCCAGCATCTTTTTCTGAATATAAATGTGAATTTGGAAAGCAGTCATCTGTTAAAGTAAATTCCAAGTCTTCAAAGTTCTGTAAGAGGTGCCACCTCAACTGGTGTCTATAGCTCATCTGGCTCAAAAGAAAGCTAAAAAAAACAACAGAACAAAACAATTGTCCTTTCAAAGGGATTGAAAAAAGCAGAGTATAAATTGGTCCACAGAATACCAAGCCCGTTGCCATCAATTCTGACTCATAGCAACCATATAGAACCACCCCATAGGGTTTCCAAGGCTGTAATCTCTACGGAAGCAGACTGCAACATCTTCCTCCCGCAGAGCCGCTGATGGGTCCGAACCATTTTGGTTAGCAGCCTCACGCTTAACGACTGTACCACCAGGGTTCCTGGTCCACAGAACAGCAGCCTTAATTAATATATGACACAAAATTCACCCCACAATGCTTTCAAGAAAAGGATTAACAGTTTAGAATGATTCGAAATTATGGGGCTTGTTTAACTTTACAAAAGCTATTTCAATGGCTACCAGGTTTGCTTTGTTGACATTTTGTTAGCTACCAGAGTGGCTATCAAGGAATATATGAAGAAGGCTAATAAATAATGTTCCTTTTCCTATTCTTGGACTTTGTGTATTTCTAAGCAAATGACTAATAACTCACTTTTTAAATATATATTTAAAATGCATAATTATGTACTTTATATGCATTATATATACTTACTTTTCCCTTCCAGTTATCCTGCATGTGTAATCCCAAATAAACATTTATACTAATTTTACTGTGAAAAAGTTCCCAGCCCAATTCTGCCCATTTGGACTTCCATTCATTACGTATTTACTGAACACTTATAATATGCTTTATGCTGGCAATTAAAGGTTCAGTAAGACATACATCCTAAGAGATGGGCAGTCCTGCAAGACAAAACAGAACTGCCCCATAGAGTTTCCAAGGAGCAGCTGGTGGATTCGAACTGCCGCCCTTTTGGTTAGCAGTTGTAGCTCTTAACTACTGTGCCACCAGGGCTCCAGAGGTAGTCTACTGAGAGACTAAGTCACCAAAAAACTACACTAGACCTTAGTAAGACTATCCCAGGGTTCTACAGAATCTCTGACAAGGGACACCTAACCTTACCCCAGGAAAAGCTTCACGAAGAATACCTACACTGGAGAGCAGAATCAGTGAGGCATGGCCTTCTTTTGTCCACCCAGATATACTGTGCGATTAGCAAAGTGCCCACAGCATAGGGTGCATCACGTGCCAAAGCCCTAAGACAAGACGGCCACTGGAAAAGGCACATTTGGGGGAAGTGAATTCAGTATGACCAGATCTTGTGTGTATGAGTTTCCATGTGTGGGAGGTAAGTAGGACATCTGTGGAATGAGGCTGGAGTTTATCAGGTCAAATTATGAGGACCCTGCATGCCATACGAGAGAGGGACTTGATGTTTCAGAACAATTGCTTAGGCAGTGGAATAGACTGGAATGGATGCAGCTGTGCAGTAACTGAAGCAAACTGTTCTACACAGTGGCAGTGAGGCTGAAGCAGTGGAATGGGTTGGAGACACAGTGAGGGACAGGGTTTGGAAGCTGATGGGATATAGTGAGCAGACGACAGACAGGTAAGGGGTGGCTCAGGAGAAACAGGTTCAAGGGAAAATGAATTCAATCCTGTATGCTAATTCCAGCTGCCTGTGGACATCCAAATGATGCTGAGCCAGCAGTGAGCAACACCTAGTATGGCTCCTCCCACTCAGTTTGGGAGTCATCTGCAACAGATAGCCACCCACGGAAGCCACAGAAATAAAATCATCCAGGAAGATGGAGAAACTACGAAGAATTTTTAGATAAAACAGTGCACTTTCGCCAGTCTAAGGAGGCACAAGTTCTAGCAAAGATCCCACTCCTCCGTTCTCTGAACCCCACCTCCCATGCCTCTGGCTCTAGCCGCAGTTCATTCCAGCCCTCCAGAGTTGACCTGCTCTCCCACTGAACCTTCCCAACTCACTCTGGTTTTGCTTATCTAGTCCACTCTGGGACAGGAGATTAGAAAGTCACAGCACACCCTCAAGCACTGACTTTACTTCATGGGAAGAAGTGAAGAAATGTTTATAGTAAACTGCAGAATTACAGATCTGAACACACAAAAAAGCCCTCATTTTTAAAAGATACAACCCAAGACTTCAGTGTTGTTTTCAACTTCTCAAGCTTTGCATTCTCACAAGAAGCAAGCATCCATTCTATCTGCAACTGGAATTATATAATGGCCATTTTGGTTTGTTTGCCCATTATGTCTCTCTTCTTTGGTAAAAAGTATCCCCACTCTTTTTTAAAAAAGTCCTCCCAACTCCTTGATGCTAGCTGTCAAACTGGTAATCAAGTACACCTCCAAGTTAAAACTTCCAAATGAAAATCCTCAATCTACCACTTACCATGCAACTTTGGGCAGGTTTCTTAAGCTGTGCCTCCATTTCATCACCTATAAAGAAACTACCTTACAGCGTTGTGAGCATTAAATGAGTTTAATACAGAGCTCAGTGCTACTGTCATCATTTATGTGACCTGGAGCTGCAAGTGCCCAGAGCTCTAGCCGCTTCCTTAGGCCTGTTTGTGAAAAGCCTTTGGAAGAAGCAGAGATGGAGGCAGTTGTCCTTGTCTGAAGAACCTGGTTCTAATCTTAAAGGCTAGATCCTCTCCTCGTCCTAAAAAGCTAACAAATGCTGCAATTTTCCTTACGTAGTTCAGGGTTGGGTTTCTACACTTGTTACTGAATTAGTCTTTTCAGTTACTCTGGGTAAACTGGAACAGGTTCTAGTTTTAGAACCACCTCCCAAAGGACAAACTGAAAGGCCAGTTCAATTCAGTCTACTTCCCCAAGCAACAAAAGAAAGGGAGGGGCACATGGGTCTCATTGAAGTGCCAGTGGGATTTAGTTGGTTTTCCTGAATATTCAGATCACACTGCTGGACACCAGTACCACCACTCTTTTCAGATCTAGCTCCAGCTTTGCCAGTGTCTACTCTCTATTTTTCTCCCTTCGTCTTCAACATCACCTCTACCCTCTGGTACTCCTAGCTTCTTTGTCATGACTATGTCAAAGTATTTGACTCCCATTATCAGTAGTTAATGAGAATTAAACAAGGTTCAGAACCTTCCACAATGCCTTTTGGACTGTTTTCAGAAAGCAACTGTAGCCTTTAAAAGGTGGACAATATGTATGCACTGTGCTCTACAATACTTCTAACTAAAAAAGGAAAAAAAAATTTTTAATTTTCATTCACCCAAACGCACAAATATGGAATAAAAACCAAAACACAACTAAGATACTTAGGGAATTAATTTCTGCTTTAACTGATTTGTCTATCTGATGGGCTATTTTTCTGGGAAAAAATCTCATAAAATACCTTAATCTTTAAGTGAACTAGACTATCCTGAACATAATTTCAAGTCTGACAATTAATGGTCCTTACGCTTCAGGTTATTATCAATAATGTAAACGTATCAGGTATTCTCAAACACCACCTGCTGCTACCAATAAGGGGCTTTTTAATTACACATCTCATTTCTACAGTGCTGAAATACATAATCTATGACCTTAACACAGCTAGTACTCTCATGAGGATTCTCTATTCACTTTTTTCACATCACCATTAAGCTTCGCTGTGTCTCACTTTCAGTGAGATCCCCAAACCAGCAGCAGCAGCAGCATCTGGGAACCTGTTAGAAATGCCATTACTTGTGCACTGCCCTAGATCTATGGCACAGCCATCTGTAGGGCCCAAAAACCTGTGTTTTAACAAGCCCTCCAGGGGATTCTGGTATGTGCTAAAGCTTGAGAACCACTACTAGAGACTCAGTCACCTATTAACACTAAAGCAGGGGTTCTTAACCTGGAATGTGTGAGCCCCCTGAAGTCAAATGCAAATATGCATCTCCCTGGGGAAAAAGTTTCACAGCCCTCAACACTCTGAAAAGGATACTAACCTAGAAAAGTTAGGTACCACTGCTTTAACGTCATCAAATTCATTAGAATTCACTTCAGCAAATATACAACAAGCCAAAATTTTCTCCAAGCCCTTTAATAATCACTTAAACAGCTGAGGCACAAGCAATAATAAAAACTGCATTTTTTACATCACAAGAAGAAAATTTTGTACCATGTCCACATGATATACCAATTTCTCAAACTCTCTTCTGCAGTAACATTTCATTAATACTCTGGTCCACAGGCTGATTGAACGAAGTCACAAAGGCAGGCAAGCAGATAGGTGGCAAAACGTCAAACTTACTTAGGTGAAAGAGGAATCAAGTGTTTACTGACCCCTACTATGCACACTACACAAGGTTTTATACACTTCACGTAAGTTAGAGTGAACGTAGATTCTACAGTTATCCATTAATAAAACAGCACTGCTACCATCAGGAAAGCCTATGTTTTAAATGCTCTTGCACCTTAAGAACAAATTATGGAACCAAACAGATCTTTGCCCAAAGAAGCATGTCAACATGCACTAATAAATATTTTCCATTTCCAAAGGTTTTACACATGTGCAACATCAGCACACGTGAACATCCAGTTTATTACTAAAATCTTGGGCTGTTCTGTGCCCACCTACTGAGGACCATTTGGTCAGCATCACCACCACTACCTGGTGGTGTGAAACTTCAGGTAAGAAACAGATAGTACTCAGCAATTATTTTTTCTGGAAGAGTTAAAAACAGCAGTTTTATTTTTTACCCAACACAGCCAGCTTTCAAAAATGGTACCTTTAAAGTAACAAAGCTGTCACTTGAAGCTAAAGTTATCACTGCCATTTCAAAGCTGATCTAGTTTTTGAGAAAGCCAAGTGATACCAAGCTTGTATTACACTACAGCTCTCAAGTGCATATATGAATTCTTTCTACCCTCCCAAAACTAAGTTAACCCTTCTTTCCTTCAACCAGTTCTTAGTTTTTCTGGGCCCATTCTTTTCTTGCCAAGTTGTCTGTCCCTTGCTCTTTTTTTCACCTCTATCCTATCTATACTCAGGCTGTTGAAAGGCAGAAGTTTCTCAGCTACAAAATCAACTACTGATCAGTCATCAATACATTGATTTGATTTAACCATCATGTTTGTACTGGTCATCTCTCCCCAAAAACACACTATTTAAGGGTTCAGAATCACAAACTGGAAGGTACTTAAGTAAGAGTCCTTAAGTGTTCAAGTCATCTAGCCTGATGTTCTAATTTTATAAGTGAGAAAACTAGAGGTAAATTCAGGCATGTAACATGACTTGCCCAAGGCTGTGCGGCTAATTAGAGGCAGAACTTAGAACTATATTCCAAACTTTCCACTATACCACGACCACCACAAAAAAAAAAAAAAAAAAAAACTCTGAGAAAGTTTAAGTAAACCAAAATAAAAAGTACACAGGAAAAATCTTTGGGGTCTGTCCAGAGATTTTTAAACAGAATAAAGTCAATCTGTACAATGTGAAATGCTTAGCCGAGCAGATGCCACTAAGCACCAAGGATCCTTATTCTCAGTACTGAAATTGAATCTGTGACTGCAGATAACTAGCCAACATTTGAGAATAAGAAATCCCACTAGCTTCATTCAAGTCTTCAGCCACAAGGTTACACCTTACTCTCAACATTCACCAAGAGAAATGAACCAAGCTGAAGTAGGATTAAGGAGGTACAGTGAAGGGGAACAAACATATTTTTACAAGCAGATCATCCCAGTTATCTTAAAGGGTAAGTTTCGGATTAATATACAGAGTAGTCACAGAACCATAACGGATTTCAGTGAAAATCAACATGATAGTTGGACTTTTAAATAAAAAGATCAATTCAGAAATACAAAGTCAGGCAAGCATGCAAAATGTAGAGTACAAAAAATGCAAGGACTACTCATCCAAGAAAACATACTCCTCAGAGAGTGGATGTGAAGATGCTGAACAGAACCACATAAACTAGGAGCTGAAAGGGACACCTCAGAGATTAGTGGATTGATTCCCTCATTTCATAAATAAGGGAGCAGATATGAGTTAGCAAAGATCACGCAGCTAGGTTAGGGTTGTACACAGATCTAATTCCCAGGGATATTTGCAACTACATATATTTAAAGTACAGGGAGATAAATAACCAGAACATATTACGTTCACTGATTTAAACATCTCAAGACAAATACATGGGGTGGGAGTAAAGTTAATACAACACAGCAACTCATCTCACTTATTTATATTTAAGAGATTAAATGGAAAAGCTTTCTTAATTTTATGCTCAGTTTTAATAAACACAATTTTCATTCAAATTTCTGATGTATAAAATGTACTAGCTTTTAAAACGTGTATTCTTCAGCATCTACTTTTTCCCTTATCTTTCAAAACTGAGCACTAGGTATTCTTAACACAGGTAATGTCATGTGTACATCTTAACTGTGTTTTAGGAATAAACAAAATCCATGGTATTCTGATAACTCAGTCTATTTATAAAATGAAAAGCTATCAAAATACACTTTTCACTGGGAAATATAAATAAAACAAATGAATCTACACAAAGTAAAAACTAACTTTGGTAGGTATCAGTGTAGTACACAGTCCATAATAAGCATATTTGCCCTTATTCCCCTAGAGCGGCTCATCTTCCAAGTTGAGAATTTTAAAAATATTTTTAATTGACATTTTATTATGTTGACATTTGTTTTTCATTCCACATCATCTTCAGCCAAGCTCTGAGCACTTACAATTCTCTGAAGGGAAAAAAAAAAAAAAAAGAAAATAATTCAATTTCTCGAAGTATCACAAGAGTTTAACAATCAGGATTCTAAGTTCGACACAAAATGCTCTGTATTCGAAGACTAAAATCTAGCTCATATTTACTATATATATTTTTTGTAAATGACGTGCCCATGTAAATAAGTAAATAACATGCCCGTACATAGAACACACGGCATAGCATGCTTAACAGTACGGGGGGGTAGGGGAGTGGTGCAGGGTTGCATGGTTGGCAAAAAACTTTAACACGTGCATTATTTGTGTAAAAATATGGTACCTATCCTGACATTAATCTCAACGTTTAACACTTTACACGTTGTTATCATCTAGGACATTTTTAATCATACTGCTGCTGTCAATTCTGTTTCAAAATCCAAGTAGATAAAGGAGGCATAATATAACATCATGCTACATGTTATTCAATTATGTTAACTGAAACTAAAAATATTAAGATCTCTTTTCACTCCAAAGCAAATTAAGAATACTGATTGTGCTTTAATGATTACTCTATGCTCCAAACATTTTCCTTTTTGGCCTGGAAATGCTCAGTCATATGGAAAAATATGAATATAGTATTACAAAATTAGCATTTTGAAAACATTTCCAGACAACATGAGACAAGTTAACTAGTAAAGGAGGTCATTTTTAATGGAGAGGAATTCAGGCTTCATCCTCAACTCATCCATATTTTAAAAAACATCACCCTCAGGTCAACATTCCACATGCACTATACTATGTTGTCTTTCAAACAGCATATATTATTAAACAGATGATTCTGATATAGACTGGGAACAACAAAGTCCAAACAAAAAGGATTGCTTGCTTTTTGCTTTTCCAACTCTTTCCCTCAAATCTCTGGGACATCTATTTTCTTTCCAGTCCTTTTCCAATGTAGTTAAGACAGGTTGAAGAATTAACTTGCTAATTATCAAACATAAAGTTCTACAAAAACTATGTCATCATCTTACTAATTTTCAATCAAACCAACTGAGGAAATAAACAGCAGAAATAGAGATGCTATTCCAAAAGGTAGATTTGGGTTTCATGGGAAGGATTCAGAATGTACAAAATGCATTTTAAAACTCAGAAGTTTTGAGTAACTCAATCTTTTACATAAATGGTTAATCTGCAATACATACTCAACAATGATTTGGGGATGTAGTCTAACTAACTCCAAGCTCATCTCAGCAACTGAGGCATGGAGCCTTTTGACAAGTCAGGGTCAGAGGGAGTCCATGTTCATTAATGACATAATTTCCAGGCTATGCCGTCATGGCTCCTCTGTCCTCTGCCAGGCCACCTAACAGAATACACAGTGTCCCAGAAGAGTAAGAAGAAAGTTTGTTTTAGAAGTAGCTGAGAATGACCTGAAATTTGAGATTTAATACTAAGGCCTAAGACTTAACACTAAGACACATACTTCCTGATCTACTTCTACGGCACAATTATTAGATCTTATGCCCAGTCATTTGGATGTTTTGCTAGTAGGAAAGAAAATTTCAAGAATTTCTCAGACTTTACATAGTTTTATTTTACAACCTTTTAATTCCTTACCTGACTAATTGTTGGCAGCTTAGTGAGAAGCATCTGGAACACTGGTGGTGGAAGAGTTTGCTGTAACACTTGCAATAACTGCTGTGGCTGCCCACACACAGCAATTGCATTTGTCAAATGGTCCACACCCTTCTCATATTCACCTGTAAGAGTCACATAAATTACATATAACTCAAAAACCTTTCCCTTTGTCAAATATTCAACTCTGAAGTCTTCACTGTATCTCCAAGTGATGCTGATGAAAAACATACAAGTAAAATTGGAAATAATCTATAGTACATCCACATACCCGAACTATGCACCTACTAATGAGTCAGATCATATGTACCGATATATACTGATACACATTTAAGAGAGGGGGAAACTAAGGTGTAGAAGTGTCCAAGTGTATTATCATTTACAGACTTAGAATATTTCTTAAAAAATACGTAGGAAACTGCTAACAATGGAATATACTTTTCAGTAAGAGAACTGGAAGACTGGGGACTGAGGTAGAAAGGAAAGCCACTTTCACTTTAAACAAACCTTCTGCGCTATTTCAAGGTTACCACATACAAGAACAAGAAAAAAAAATTTTAAGTGATGCTAACAGAAAAAATGGTGATACTAGTGAAGTGGCAAGGAGGAGCTTGTAATTAGCTGAGTGGTATGATTTATTTATTTATCTATAAACTTCCTACAACAGACACATTACTTTTGAAAGACAAAAACATTACTTAAGGTTTACAGTTTTGGACTATCAGCACCTGCCGTCGAGTTGATCTCAACTCATGTGTGTCCGGGTAGAACTGTGCTCCACAGGATTTTCAACGGCTGATTTTGGAAGGTTCACTTAATTCAATAAATATTAAGTACCTGCCACATGGTTCTTATCCTGTTATATCCCATTTTAAACCAAACTCCAAAGAACTGTCCTAAATTCCCTATACAAATGTATCTTGTGCCATTAAGTATGGTTTAAATTAAGTGTTCTTCTGCATAGGACACAGAAATCCTCTTAATGTGCCCTTCATCCTTTGAAAGATGTTTGTATAGTGAACAGCCTTGGAGTATACTTGTGTCTCCTTCTGGAGCAAGGGTACGTTTGCTCACTGTCTACTATAACATCTCCCTCCAGAGCAAAGGGCAGGCATGCTTACTGCCCACTATAAAAGATTCAAATTCTCTTAATTCAGGCAACCTCTTCCATAAAGCAACCCACTGCATGTACAGGTGTTACCTATGGGAACTAGGCTTGAGGAACCAGTGCAAATGCTGACACTCTGACTACTGCAATTGCTGTGAGTGATAATACCAATACCTAAACGACGACTGATGTGGAAATGAGGTGGACCTGTTCATACGTACCACTAGAACAGTACCCTTTGTCTCTGACCCCGAAGAATCGTGCTTTCTGCCAGCATCCATGAAACTGCGGCAGGTAAACTTGTTAGCATAAATGTAGGGTAAAATCCCAGACCCTTCACAGCTCTTGATATTGTTAAGGTGTGTTTTTTACAAGCTCTTTTTACTTACTAAAAGCTTTTCATTATATATCGCATGTTTATGTAACAGTGCTTTTGAAGTATTAACTTAATATAAAAATGTATTCAATATCTTAAACATGTTCTCCTCAATCTTTATTTTATTCTCTGCTATGGATTCAATTGTGTGTCCCCCTCAAAACACATGTGTCAACTTGGCTAGGCCATGATTCCCAGTACTGTGTGGTTGTTCACCATTTTGTGATCTGATGTAATTATCCTATGTGTTGTAAATCTTACCTCTATGATGTTAATGAGTCAGGATTAGAAGCAGTTACGTTCATGATGCAAGGCTCAATCTACAGGATTAGGTTTTAGCTTGAGTCAATCTCTTTTGAGATACAAAAGAGAGAATCCAGCAGAGAGGAGAGGGACCTCATGCCAACAAGAAAGAAGCACAGGGACCTTTCCCCAGAACCGACAAAGACAGAAAGCCTTCCCAGGGAGATGGCACCCTGAGTATGAACTTCTAGCCTCCTAAACTGTAAGAGAATAAATTTCTGATTGTAAAAGCCATCCACTTGTGGCATTTCTGCTACAGCAGCACTAGATAACTAAGATATCCTTATAACAATATTAGTAACTACTAACATTAACAAATATTTGCCAGGTGCCAAGACATTATTCATTTAGTTTATATACATAGGTTCACATGATATTCACAATAATCTTTAGTTAGGTAGTAATATTATCCTCATTTACACTGGAAGAAATTGAGGCTTAGGATAATTAGGAAACATGCTTCAAGTTAGTAAGGCAAAGGCTCCTTAACTCCTGAGGCCCTGCTTATATTACTAAACTTCCTCCCTAATCCAACTTTTCTTTATAGATAGCACAAGTATTAAACCAATTCAGATTTATTCTAAACTAACTCAACAATCAATGATATGGGAGGACCTATTCTAAAACAAATCAAGAATACTACAAAAAACTGTTGCATTCTGAGCTTTATGAAGGTAGCTCATGACTTAAAATCTTTTCAGACCACACCTATTTACTTTTAATCTTTCCTAGTTTGTTAGCAACTTGAATACAGGGAAGGACTCGGTCGTCTGCAAGTCTTTAGGTGAAATTAATTGAGCAAATTCTAATTATACCAATAAATTATTTATTGGGAGAGGGGAGGTAAGATAAAAAGTAAAGCTGTCCCCTGAAACTATTGCCCTGAGATGATCTTTAAACCTTAAATCAAAACAGCCCCTGAAGAGAGAGGGTCAGAAGCTGGTTGAACGGACATGGGGAATCAGGGGTGGAAAGGAGGAGTGTGCTATCACAGTATAGGGAGAGCAATTAGGGTCACATAACAATGTCTGTGTAAATTTTTTTATGAGTGACTAACTTGAATTGTAAACTTTCACTTAAAGTACAACAATAAAATTTTTTTAAAAAATAGCCTCCAAAGTCTTCTTAAAACAATAGTTCAGCTTAACTAGTAAAAAATGTCTGCCTTGAGCATTATGCTCTTTTAAGAACTATCTACATGGGAACAAATTTCAACAGCAACTCAAAAGATTAGACGGGAATCTTAGGGGCCAGTGAGTTTACGTTAATGAGGGAGGAACAACTCAGAAAAGGAAGGTGAGAATGGCTGCACAACTCGAAGAATGTAATCAGTGTCAACAAATTGTACATGTAGTAACTGTTGAACTGGTGTTATGTTTTGCTATGTATATTCTCAAAAACAAAATAAAAATTAAAGCTGTTAACTACCACATTATACCCTTAAACTCTTCCCACAAAAGAAACAAAAAAAAAAAGGACAAATGCCCCAAATCATGTGAGCAGCTCAACCCTATCAAAATACTAGCAGTAAGTGTCAGGAAGAAAAATAACTTAACACTTGATATCTATTTTATTAATAATAGCAATTACTTCAAAAAGACTTTTAAGATAAAAGCTAATTTACACTAAAAAGATTTGTAAATACATTTAAGGCCCTAAATTACTGCATTATAATTCTCAGATTAGTCAATTAATCTGATAATAGGAACTTAATTTCATAGCAGAAATTTTTAAAAGTCTCAATACTGGTAATGGAATCAATGAGACACAAACTAATAAAAGGCCTAAACTCTGAATCAGGTAACTGTTTGGTTCTAAAATCAGCAGTCATGAACTCATCATGTGACCTTGATTAGGTGAATTAACCTCCTCTCAGATTTATACTAAAAGGAAATCGATTTTTCAAGTCCCTCCAAGATCTAACATTTCATGCAAAATATAAAAGTTTAATAATTGTTGAAGCCATTCCTTACTATAAATACAGAAAACACGATAAGATGGGGGCCGAGGGAGGATATTCCTAGCTCATACCGCCTCCGTTACTATTTACATATTGTACTACGGTTATAAGGAGCCCTGGTGGTACAAACGGTTAAGCACTCAGCTGCTAACCGAAAAGGCTGCAAGTTCAAACCCACATAGCAGCTCCAAGGAGAAAAGACCTGGTAGTCTGCTTCCATAAAGATTACTGCCAAGAAAACGCTATGGGCAGCTCTACTCTGTCTCATAGGGTCAATGAGTCAAAACAACACCATGGCTATATTTTCTAAACTACGGAGTAACCTTATTTTCGACAATTACTTATTATTTCCTACGTATCAAATGATCTATGAAAGTAAGCCTAAAACTCACTCAAAATACAGTATGGCCAATAATAATGTACTTAGAATAGTTACTTTTAGAACCAATTTTACATAAAATAATCCCACATTACTGAGTGCCTAAAAAGCTGTCATGAAATATTTAGAATAACTTCTTAAAAAAACAGCCAAACTATACAAGAAAAGCCCCTTATCATCATAAATTTACATTAGTGGAAAGAATTCCATCTAGTTCCTTCATCTTTAATGACTATTACCTTGGGCTAGTAACTCTTCACCAAGCTGTATTTCTTCAAGGAAAAATTTCTGAACTGCTTCAGCATCTTTAAGGTCTGGTAACTGTTTGGAAATAGAGTATTTAATAATTGGAAATACAATGTTTAGTAACTGATACCAAAATTATGCCAGGAAATACAACCAATACTCAGAAACTCATGCAAAAATTAAAAAAAAAAAAAGAATAGCTCATTAAAAGATTGATAAAACTATTTTACCCTTCAACCACATCTGCAAGGATTAAAATTTAGTATCTACATTCAAATGATTGCCAGGGGAAAAAAAGCTATTGGCATTTCCATAAACAGTTTTCACAAAGATCTGAAGCAAACCTAAAGTGAAAACTGAAGGATACAAATATATCCACCATACAACACACTTCACATACTATTTTTTTTTACTGCTATCATTATAAACTTTATACAACTGTAAACAATTTGTTCTTCTGACTCAATATTATTTTGTATAGATTTTGCATGCATCTAAAAAATCAATTGTTTTCAAATGGCAATAAAATATACCACTGAAATAATGACTATTTAATCATTACCTATTTGCTGAGCATTTGAACTACTTCTAATTTTTTTGCTATTAAAAATAACTATAAGAAACTTTATGTAAATGTTTACATTTGTGTTTTTGTTTTGCTGTGTGTATATTACCAGACTGAATGATTATGGTAATATACAATGCCACCAGATATATGGCTTGCCTTTTTAAAATCTGTTAAAAAGTCCATTTTTACTTAAAAACTTAGGCTTCTATTAACGTAAGTTTTCCATTCTTGAGTTACAGTATACACACTCTTATTATCCAATGTAGGTGAAAAAAAAAATACAATTTCTGAAAGTGAAAGCATTTTTCATTGACTATCCCAGCATACAGCAAGAACTTGATTATTTTCTTGAATCTAAAAATGCACCAACTCTCATCTCCATAATAAATCAATTTTCCTATACCTTTAAGGAAGAACTACTAAAAACAATGAACATTTTACACATTTCAGAAAAGCAGTTTTGGCATATTAGAACAAAGAGGTTCGTTTTCAGTTTCTACTTTACTATTACCATGTCCACTTAATTAACTGTGTTGATTACTGCTTCAAAATAACTTATAAAATATAACATCTACTGATTTAATTTTTCTTTGCCCAACTTCCTTCAAAAAGCACCACTACTTGTTTAGAGAAGTGTGCCACCATTTGGGTAAAAATGGAACAAAAATAATCTAAATACATGCAGCATATCTCTGGAACAACATATTAAGAAACTACCACGTATTGCAGGAAAGTGGAACTCAGTGACTTCATGACGCTGGTGGCAGAGACTGTGTACTCTAACCCTTTTCACCTTTTTATTTGGAATCATGCGAGTGTATCACCTATTCAAAATATCAGTAAAATCTAAATTAACAATAAAAAACCACTACTGATCCATTAGTCCAATTCCTGGGAATCCAGATAATGGAACTAATTTCAAAAAAACGGAAAAGCTTATGTACAGTGATTAATATTTACTTACTTAATTTACTTACACATGTCACAGAATATTTTTTAGGAAGTAGATAAACCTATGTAGTCATTAAAAATAATCATGAACACAGGATCTATGAAAAAAAAAAAATGAACAAAAAGATTTATATCTACATTCCATACTACAACAAGGTAAAAATCTGTAAAGACAGTGGGACTATGGGTCATTGGTTATGAATAGTGTTGTTATGACGTGCAATGAACAGCATGTGGTGCTTTTAAAATAAGTTGAAACAAGGAACAATTAAATCAAATGTTATATTTTATTATTTTTAAGTGGTTGAGTGAAAAAGTTTGAACCTCTTGATGCAAACATCTTTAGAAACTATCATCTTAGTGCCTCTTAAATACTGCTTGTATAATAAGTTGTTTGTTGTGGCCAACAAAGGAGAACTAATCAAGGACCAGAAAATCAGTATTAAACTCAGTTAACTATTCCTAAACACAACACATATTTACAATAGAAAATTAACGTCTGATATCAACTAGCTTTCTCAAAAATGTGTACTTGAAACAGAATTTAAAAGAATGTTTCTATAAAGTATTTAATACAATCTAAACAAAAAACAGACTACCTTGGAAAGCCCAGCTCTCTCCTTGGCAAGCTTCTGTTTCTTTCTTCCTGCAAGAAATACATTGTAGTTTATTTTACCACTACCAAAATCGAAATTAAATTTTAAAAAAAGTCTAGCTGCTGTGGTAGTCATTCCTTATAATCCCAAAATATTCTGAACTCTTAGGATCTCTGCCTCTCTGGTGTCCTTGTGATTTGTCAGGGCCCCAGTTCTGGTCAACAAGCTGTGGGCAATGGGACATTTCTGGGCAGGAGCTTTCTCCTTCCTTCTGGGGCATTGGGATCAGCAATTTACAAGATGGAGGCAGTTCTGACAGCTGGGTCTCTGAGTAATTACAATAAGTAAATCATGTATATCCTTCCAACCTACATGTGACATAACTAAGAATTAAGCCACTGCTGTTACAGAGTTTTATTCCTGAAATGTAACAGATTCTATCATTACTGAATGTTGAAAACCATCTGATGTTCTTCAATGGAAAATCAGCACTTGAGAAAGTTTTCTAAAAATAAAATTTATGTCTTTGGGAGGAAAAAGTGTGGGGCGGGGGGTGGTGACGGTGCTCAGAAATACACTTCTAAAGTTTTAACTCAACTAATGCTGGCTAGTTAAGGGTGAAAAAAAATCTGCCTAAAATCTCTAAGTTATTTTATTTGATATGAAATCAAGCAATACTACAGATCTCAGGAGAGCTATTATTTAAAATCTTAATCATCAATTAATCAACCCTTAAATCAAACCTTCGATAACAGGAAACTAACAGTATTTGAACTGCTATCTAATTGTATACCCCATGGGAAAGGGTGTTGATAGTGTGAGCACAGCCTTTGGAGACTGCGTGGTTTGTATTCTAGCTCTTGCACTTTCAACAGTGTGACCTTAGGCAAGGTACAGTAACCCGTAAGTCGCTTTTGTACATGTAAAACTGGTGGTTAAATGCTATCATCTGCTCTTGCTAATGAATGACAAAAAACGTATAAATAAATTAAAATCCTAGGTCTAACCCTAAATCTTATTTCAGACTTTTCTTAAAAAAAAAAAAAAATTTTATCAGAAAAGCTAACTAAAATGACAGATTTGAGAAACTTCCCCTGATGTTAAATATTCTATTGGAAATTTAACTAGAAAAAGTCAAAATTAACTAAACTGAAATAAATTTCATTCTACAAATGCAAAATACTCAAGTTCTTAAAATAAGCCTATCATGCAATGACCTAAAGGTCATTAAACAGACCGTAAAATTATTCTGAATGAAAGTTTTTCTTGCTAAAGAAAGTAAATATAAAACATTATATTTATAAGCAGTGTCTACCATTCATCAATCACCATGTGCCATAGACTTCACTAACTCTACATTATACCATTTATAAAAGGAAACTAAAACTTGAAGAGGTACAGTCATTTGCCCACTCAGCTGGTCAGTCAACCCTGAGCACTTGATCATTAGGCTACTGCTAAAGCTAGAAAAATAAAATTATGGATTGAGGATGACAGAAAAAGAATTGTGAAAATAACATTTCTCAATCTGTCTAAAATGATAGGATAGCTTTTACGGTTTCTTCAACCAAAAAATAAAGTTTTCTCAAGGTTTTCAGCAATAGTATTCCAGTGTTTCCAAAGTTGTAAAGTTAATACAGTCTTAAGAGCTATGCATACTCCTCCACTTCAACTATTTTTGAAGCTGGGGGTAGGGGGGTGGTAGGAGTGGGGCTAAATTCTAGTAGGTACACTTACAACACACGTTTACAGAGGGGCGTTCCCTATCAGCAATTGTGGTGGGGCACTTCAAACATCTTATTTAATATTCACAAAAGTAACAAGAGTCAGGTGGCATTACCTAATTTTAGAGCCAAGAAAATTAATGTTCAGAAAACCCAAGACTATGCTGCTAATCAGTGGCCAACTCAGGCCTGGAAACCCAGGGTCTGAATCCAAAACAGCATTCTTTCCATTAGTCTACGGAATCATAAATAAAATACAGTATCCCTATATCCCTCTCCTCCTAAAACACAGAGCTAGGAGAACTGATGTCACATTGTAGATGATGTAAGATCAGCATAGTCCAATAAGGGACGCTACTAACCACGTGTCGCTACTGAGTGCTTGAAATGCCTTGTTAAACAGTAATTAAAGTACGAAATAGCATAATCAGCTCTTTGCATTTTCCAAACTTTAATAACTTATATTTTCAATTTCAACTTCAGAAACTGTTTTGGCTGAGCCACTTAGTTGTCTCAAGTTACAAAAAAACTTCTTATTGCAACAAATTTGCTCTTATATATTGTTGCAAATGAAGATGCCTTCGAAATTCAAAGCAGATCACAATGGTTTTGGTGACCCTATTTCCCTCTTACAAATCTAACCTATCTTAAAAGATGTCGCAGGTATGAAATAAGACTGAGCCACAGGAGAGGCGCAGCCCTTTGGACTCTCCTGCAATTTTTGTAGCATTCACTTATTATCTTGGAAGCATTTACAGCGAAGCTACCAAGAGGGTTTAAGAATGCTACAATGATACCGCACCGGATTTGCAAATTTAGTCTCAGGCTAAAATTCGTAAAACACAAAATCACAAGTTTCGAGTTAAGAATAGAGACTAAAAAAAAAAAAAAAAGGCAAGAAAGAGAAAAATTATAATGCAAGCCAGACTGCGTTTACACGGTGTTTGGGGGTAAAACAAAATGGGAAAAATCGTTCCTACAAAATGGAGGGAACCGAAAACGGCACAAGGGCCAGACAAGCGCTGGAATTCGCGCCATCGCCTTCCCCGGTCCCGCTCGGTCGCGGCCTTCCCAGACGCACGCCAAGGGTGCCAGGCCCGACCTCACCACGCGGAGGGCCGGTTCTCGGCAGAACAGCCGCAGTCGCGGCGGCCGCAAAGGGAGGATGTGAGACGGATGGAGGCACCAAGCCCAGGGCGAGGGGACCCACTCACGCTCTCGCAGCCTGTTCTTGAAATTGGGGTCACTCCGTCTCTTGCGGTCGAAGTAAATGCAGTACCCGATGAAAAGGGCCCCGCATACACCGGCGGCGATGGCGCTGTTCCGACCCACCATTTTCTCTCGACTGCGTAGTGTAGGGGGCGGTGCAGGCGGCGGCAGCAGCCGGCCTAGGAGCCGTTGGCTACGAACCTTCCTCAAAACCGACTACCCTGCTCAAACCAGACTACCCAGCAGGCGAGGAAGGCGGCCCAGGCCCCCGCGCGCGCGTCACTTCCGACGCCGTAGTCGTCCAAAGCCGTGCCGAGGGCGTCCAGCGCACTGCCTGAGGAGAGGACGCCGGTTCCCCATCTGCGCCTGCGCACATGGGCGGTCCCGGCGCCGCGCCGCGGGGCCCAAGAGGCGACGCCATAGTGTAGGGGCGGGGCTGCTCGTTCGCGTAGGGATTCGGTGACTGATCGCTCACTAAGAAAGTCCCGGTAAGCTTCGTAAGAGGGAAGTGGCGCGCTGCCGTCATTCGCACACTTAAAAGTCGGTAGCGTTATGTCAAAGGCGGAAGATCATTGACGACAAATTCTTCATCTTATCCTTTCTTGTATAATACAGGACAGCCTGCGGCTCTTGTTTAAATTAAACTGAATTTGCTTTCAAGTTCAATCGCAATCCGTTGTACAATGTAACACCATAATCTAGTGATTGAATCTGAATTTCGAAAGAATATTACAGTATAGTCTAATTTTATGAGTAGAAAGAAATTAAATGGAGCAATTCCTGGAAAAATATAAACTGTAAAACAGATTGAAGAAAAAACAAAATGTGAATAGCCAATGAAGACATCGGTAGTTTAAAATATTCCCACAAAGAAAACCTTGGGCCCTGTTGATTTTACAGATGAGTCCCACCAAATAAACAACAGATAATACCAATATTAAACTCCGCTAGAAATTAAAAAAGGAGGAACGTTTCTCAACTCAGTTTATTAGTGAATGATAAATTTGACACCAAAACCAGAAAAGGAAAAGCATGAGAATGGCTATTACAAAGCAATCCCTGACAAGAACATAAATTCAAAAATCTCAGTGTAAAACAAGTTATTTTGTAAATCCTGTTTCCAGTCTGAAGGTGGCAGCTGCTGCTGCCAACTCAATAGTCATGGCCTTCCATAACTTGTTTCCTGTTTTAGTTAGCTATTGCTGTGTAACATATTATTCCAAAATTTAGTGGCTTAAAACCACAAACATTTACCTCACAATTTCTGTGGCTCAGGACTTTGGAGGTGGATTAGTTGACGATTCTGGCTCTGGGTCTCCCAGGTGGTTGCAGTCAGGATATGGGCAGGGGCTGCAGTCATCTAAAGGCTTGACTTCTCTGTTGTTAGTTGCTGTTGAGTCAATTTCCACTCATAGCGACTTCATGTATGCAGAGAACTGTGCCATAGGGTTTTCAAGGCTAATCTGCTCTTTTATTTTTGAAAGTGATTGACTCAAAACACACTCTATACTAACACGGACTAATTAATAAAGAAAACCATATTACACAGGTATAAAAAAACCAAGCCAAAGCCATTGCTGACAAGTCAATTCCGATTCATAGCAACCCTATAGGACAGAGTAGAACTGCCCCATAAGGTTTCCAAGGAGTGGCTGGTGAATTCGAACTGCCAACCTTTTGGTTAGCAGCCCAGCGCTTAACTACTGTGCCACTAGGGCTCCATTATACGGGTATAGGGGTTAGGATTTACAACACATTTTCAAGGGACAAATTCAATCCATACATCTGCTATGCTTTAAGACGCTACCCATTCACATATATCCAAGAGACTTCAAAGCAGAAACGAAAACGGACAAATGTACACCAATGTTGTGATGGTTAAGATTGTGTATCAAGTTGGCTGGGCCATGATTCTCAGTGTTTTGGCAGTTGTATAACGTTGTGATCACTTCCCTGTTGAGATTTGGTGTGTGATCACCCCCATGATGGGATCTGTTGTGAGTAGCCAATCAGTTGAAAGGGAGTTTCCTTGGGCATATAGCCTGCATCGAATATAAGCAGACATTCTGGCAGGGCTCGGGGGCTTTTTGCTCGCACTGGATCCTATGGCTGGCTCCTGTTCGTCTGACCTCTGGTTCTTGGGACTTGAGCTAGCAGCTTACCTGCAGTCTTGCCTGCCGATCTTGGGATTCATCAATCTTTGCAGCCTGTGAGCAAGAAGACCCCTGCTCTCTGACCTGTCGATCTTGGGTTCACCAGCCCCTGTGCCAACATGAATCAGCAGGAGTCTTTATCCTGACTCACGGACTTGGGGTGTTCCAGCCTCTACAACCATGTGAGCCATTTCTTTGATATAAATCTCTCTCTATATATGCTTTTCTGATTTTGCTTCTCCAGAGAACCCAGCCCAAATGTTCTTTGCAGTCCTATTCACAATTGCCAAAAGATGGAAACAACCTACATGTCCATAAACAGATGAATGGATAAACAAAATGTGACATATCCATACCTTGGAATATTACTCATCCATAAACAGAAATGAAGTCCTGATACATGCTACAACATGGATGAACTTTGAAAACATTATGCTGAGTGAAATAAGTCAATCACAAAAAGATTACTGTATGATTTCACTGTGAAATAACCAGAACAGGCAAAAGATTAAAGTGTTATTAATGGTTGCCAGGGGTGACAGGGAGTGTGAAAGGAAAGTCATTGTTTAGGAAGCAGTGTCTGTTTATGGTGATGAAAAATTTGGCAATGATTATTGTTGAGGGTTATGCAACATGATTAATGTAACTGCTATCACCAAATTGTACACATAAAAAATGCTGCATTAGCAAATTTTATATATATATATTTACAGCAATAAAAAATAAGCTACCCATTCACAGAAAAGTCACAATTAAGTTTATGCACACAGACTACATATTCACAGTCTATAAAAACTACAGATAATGATACATCTTTATATAAATTTAACTGGACATATGTGCAAAACTGCTCAAGAGTTATCTGGTAATAAGTATTTACTGAACCTTTCTTGTGAAAAGCAAGGTCCTTAACATACAATAGCCAGTCCCTGGACAGACAGGAAAATTGCAGCTCTGTACTCTCCACAGAGCGACATTTAAAAGATCCCTTAGGTTTTTCTTGTGCTACCCCCAAAAGATAGGATTTTCAAAACAATCGGTAACGAACCCCCTCATCCCCATTCACCTAAGGGATACCATGTTTGGATGTCGTACATTCTGCCTGCCTCAGATCGGCCACCCTGGTTTACTACTGCCACCGTTTCCTTTGGTTATAAAGACCCAGCTTTAAGGTTAAGTCCCAAGGGAGTAGAACAGTATCCTCTTCCCTTGCTGAGCTTTATTCATACTTTGTGACTTAATTACTGTATCAGAAAATGTTTACTTTAAACATGATTTTTTGAAAGATTATGCCATTTTAACGGGTGATACTAATTTAAGGATCACTAGTTTTCCTGGGAAAATAAAAAAAAAAAAAAAAGGAAACATCTGCTTTATAGCCCATTTGCCAAGAACTTTAATAACCAGTCTAATCACTGTTTAGAAAATGAGAAATTACAGTAACATCATTTCAGATATGTAAAAAGTACTAGTCATTCTTGTTAGTTACAATCAGGTTGATGAAATTTAAAAAAAAACAAAAAAAAAACCTGAAACTCCACTTAACAAAAGTGCAAGAGAAAGGAAGAAAAATAAATGAATCTTATTATTTAACAGCACTCAACACCTTTCCTATTAGGGTCTATGACTCTGTCTTAATCAGTATCCCACTTTAATTATTTAGATACTTAGATACAATCAGTACTACTGTTTACTACATTTTTTTCCTGTTTACACCTATTCCTCACTTATCAACGATCTTTGTTATCTGACACTTTGTATTTATGACAACAGTAAAAAATCTACTATTTTGTGCATTAACGAGGTAGCAGGCATGGTGCCAACAGCTGTGGAGTATCCCCTCCCTTGAGGAGGGTCTCTGGGTGGCCTCCAGGAAGCTGGGCCGTGCTGCTCTGCATGCTTGCTCCTTCCTGCTGGCGGGGACACCACGTGGCCACGACCTCCGGGAGGATTTGCAGGCAGCAAGGAGCCAGCAGGCACGTGTTCTGGGTTCCCAGCTCCTATGTGGCCTGAGGCCCTGCAGCTCAAAATTGTGGGGTTGGAAGGAAAGAAAGAGGCACTGGAGAGGGTGTTTGGAAGAAATGTGTGTGAATTTAATGACATACCAAAGTGAGCTGAACTGGGCCTGAAGCCTCCGTTGGGTGGGGCAGGGTACCTCACCAGGCTCCCAGCACCCTCATAGGAAGCCCACAGCCTCAGTAACTCGCAAGCTCCAGGGTAGTGAACACAGGGCTGAGTAAGGGTAGGAATGGAGCCCCGGAGACAGCTCCCCAAGGGAAGCTCTGACCCAGCACTGGAGAAAGGTGAAGTGGTTAAGCCGTGGACCCTCCAGTCACACAGCCAGCCTTTATCCAGCTTTGTCTCCTCCAAGCCTCCAAGAGGAATAATCCGTAACTGAACTCGTCACAGTGATGAGCACATCAGTAAATCTTAGCTGTTATGATTGTATTTTCTAAATGAAAAAAGCTGGACAAATGGATGTTCTGAAAACAGAAAAAAAAAAAAAATCCTCCGTTTTTGCCATAACGCTGACTTCCGCATAACAATCTGGTCTTTGGAACCTAACCATGTCAATAAGTGAGGAATGAGTGTACTCACTTATTAATTTAGTCTCATCCTAAGCCATATTATTATTGAAATAACAGACCTAAAGTGCTAACACACATTTAAATTCTAAATGTTCAGACTAAGCTTGAAATCACCTCTTCTACCATCAGTAGTAACACATAATCCACATTGAGCATGCTACCCATATCTTAAAGCAAAGCATCAAAGGTAGTATGAACTCAGAATAGAGAAGTCTCCACATTTCACTATGCCATCCATAAAAAAATCTGAAACTGAACACATGGGTCACCACACTTTTATTACCAGTACTCAGTATACAAAAAACACAAAACAAAACAAAAAGCCTTTAGCTACTTCTGCTTTTTCTGTTTCTTAGGTCGTCCACTTCTCTTCTGTCCTTTCTTCTTCTTTTTAGTGAGAACTGCTTTTTCTCCAATAAATAAACTTTTAGACTGTCCTTCCGCATGTTTTGAAGCAAAATTAAGTCCCTGCTTAGGTTTACTGACATTCTTCAAACCTGGATTTGAATTTTGTTGTTTTAATTTTTCTTTGTTAACAGAACGCATGACTCTGAGTTTTCTTCCCATTAGTTCAGAATTATTTAATTTCAGAGCAAGATGAACAGCATCTGTATTCTGAAATAAAAATTAATAAATTAATTTTCAACAGAAACTTATCTGTAAAGAAACTAACAAAATCACTACACTAATGGATAAGAACTATTTTCAAATTTGAATATAGAAACCCCTTCCATTTCCACACCTCAGAAGCCCAACAAGCAGTATTTTAGCAGCAGTGTGTTAAGTCACATTTTAATCAGGTGCCAACAAATTTTCCCCAGGAAGCTCTCAAGCAACTCTGTCAAATGATCAAGCGAGTTACAATCCTGTAGGTTTCATTTTTCTCCCTGTAAAGTGAGGTATTAGACTAACTAATCATATGGAATCCTTCAAACCAATAAAATGCCTTCTTAACAGAAATCTTTGGATAAAAACCGAGCCGTATCAGAGGAATTGAGGGCAAGAAACTCTATAGCTCTTGAAATGTTAGATTAGATGCCCTCCAGAGTTCCTTTTAGATCCAAAGATCTAGCATTCTTTTATTGTATCATACAACCACTAAATGATAATAACCCTTAAGTTAAGACTTTAAAACTTAGCAGGTAATAATCAAGAAGCAGTACAATAACTACAATATAGAAATGATAAAACATATGGCCCTGACAACCTTTCTGAAAAGCTACCTGGTAAGACACGTATCAAAGAAGCCCTGGTGGCGCAGTGGTTAAATGCTCGGCTGCTAACCAAAAAGTCTGTGGTTTGAATCCACCAGTTGCTCCAAGGAAGGAAGATGTGGCAGTCTGCTTCTGTAATGATTACAGCGTTGGAAACCCTGTGGGGTAGCTCTGCTCTGTCCTATAGCTGCTATGAGTCAGAACTGACTTGATGGTAATGGGTTTTAAGCCATATTGAGAGACTTACAAATGGTCACACAACTTGTGCTAGTGGGAATCTATCCCAAGGGAGTAATCCAAGCTGCAGGAAAACATTCGAGGAAAAAAACATAACCACTGCAATTTGATTATTATACCGAAAAAGAGAGAATACTGCAAATGTCCAACATTAGGGGAAAAAAAAGAGTATAAACTATGTTACATCACTCAGTGGAACATTCTTACACAGCGCAATGTAACAAAGCAGACTGCAAAATTTTACGTGCACAGATATTAAAAAATAAAAGGCACAGGAAGAAACTTAAAGGAAATGTACTGACTGACAGTTGCTGAGGGAAGAAAAATGTGTGCGCTCTCAGACAGTACATGTATTTTTTTTTTTTAACTACCTAACAATGTTAGGGATGAAACAATGGTCATAATTTAGTCAACTAAATACAACAAATTTTGTACAAAGACTAAAATTTTCTTCTCACTGAGTGAATGGTCAATCATTTTCTCCATTTTACAGAAGCAGAAATTGAGATTCAGAGATGTAGTACCTTCTACATTCAAAACCCAAAATGGTATCTAATAATATTACCATGAATAAAGAGTGAACTAGAACATCTTTTGGCTGAGGTGCTACTATAGCAATCGTACTCCATAATAGCAGATTATGAACTCAGTTTTCTTAAGATACAATTGAGAGTGAAAATGATAGTTATGTCTGAATAGGTGAAATGGTAGTAACAACCCCTCCCAGTTCATCTTCAAAGGACAGTGATAACGCCTGAGTCTGCCATACCTCAAACAGCACATAGCCAAATCCTTTGCCAACTCCAGTCACTTGGTCTCTCACAATTCTCACGGCCACAATACTTCCACAGTCCAAAAAGTGTTCCTCAACTGCAGACTCTTCAATTTCTAAAATCAAATCCAGCCAAAAGAGAAGTTAAGACTTGGAATCTCCTTACAAAGCTGGAAATTTTTAATAATAAAGCTATTTACATATCAAATCCAATTCAAATCCATTGCCGTTGATTCTGACTCACAGAGACCCTATGGGACAGAGTAGAATTGCCCCATAGGGTTTTCAAGGAGTGGCTGGCTGGTGGATTTGAACTGCTAACCTTTTGGTTAGCAGTCAAGCTCTTAACCACTATGCCACCAGGGCTCCCCATTTACACAAAGCACCATGAAAATTATTTATACTGCATGCTTTTTAAAGTTAGTCTTCAAGCAAAACATTAAGTTACTGTATCAATTTTAATTTCCTTCCATTATTTTAATAACATAGTTTAAACAAACTTACTGTAAGGGAGATTCCCCACAAATACTGATCTCTTGTCCCTCTAAAACACAAAGAGTTAAGAAAAAAATCACTCACTCAAGCAGAAGTCATCTTAAAATCCTCCCTTTCCTTCACTCCCCAGGCCGACCTGGTCACCACTCCTCCTGAATTAGCCACACATCTCTCTCTCATCAATCCCTTGTTTGGTGATCTACTTATTCCATCTTCCCAGCTGGACTGTGAGTGACTGCCACTGGAGAGAGCTCTGTTCACAGCTGGCACTGACACATTGTAGTGCTCAAGAAGGGCTTGCTACTCCAGGAATCAGCAAACTTTGTATGTAAGGGGCCAGATGGTAAATATTTTAGCTTTGTGGGCCCTGCGGTCTCTGTCGCAACTATTCAACTCTGCCGTTACAGCAGGAAAGCAGCCACTGACAATAGGTGAATGAATGAGAATGTCTATGTTCCGATAAAACGTTACTAATAAAAAGTGCGCTGGGTAGATGTGGCCCACAAATTTGCTGATCCCTGTGCTTTTGTCCAGGTCTTTCTCATTTCTCAACTAGGTCACTTTGACAGCGACTGAAACAAACTCTGTTTCTTCTCCAGTGAACCCTTCCAACTCATCCTCCATTTCCAGAGAGACCTGTGTAAAATGCAAATCTTGCCATGTTACTACCTCGTCTAAAATTTTAAAACAGTTGCTTGACAAAATCCAGACCCCTCAGCATGGCAACCAAGGGTCTTCATGACTTGGCCTCTGTCTGCAACTGTAACTCTTATTACTGCCTCTTGTACCTCATACCTTTTATCTGCATCAAGCTCCTACCATCTCTTCAGCTAATTAAGTTGTCTGTCCCCATCGCTCATACTGATTTTCTTACCCAGATATGCCCTTCCTTTTTTTTTTGGTGGTGGGGCGGGGGAAGGTGGTTTGGATAATGCCTACTTATCTTTCAAATCTGATATAAGACCTACTCTCCCAGACCCCTTCCTTGCACCTCCCCAAGATAAGTGCCCCTTTCTTGTGCTGACAGAGCATACTGTGCATCTATCAGATAAAACCCAAACAACCAAACCCACTGCTGTCAAGTCAATTCCAACTCATAGTGACCCTATAGGACAGAGCAGAACTGACACATAGGGTTTCCAAGGCTGTAAATCTTTACGGAAGCAGACTGCCACATCTTTCTCCTACAGAGTGGCTGGTAGATTCGAACCACCGATCTTTTTAATATTTACCATAAAACCATGCAATGATCTGTTCATCTGCTCGTCTCCACCTTTACACTGTGAGCTCCTAGGGAATTGAGACTGTCTTACCACTGTGCGCCTGACACAAAGAAGGGATCCAAATAATGTCTAGTGAATGATTTAACTTTCTCGACCTCAGTCTAAAAAATAGGGGATCAAACCAGATAATCTCTAATGTACCTTCTAGCCATAACATTCTAGGATTATTTCATCTAATAGTGGGGTTGGGGAAGTATTCAAGCAGAAGAGACTATGTTTTTGAAGCTAATGATGACTAGAAGTCCTTGTGTCACTTTAAGCACAACTACTGTCACCAAGGCGAGAAGTGTTGTTTTCTTCTGTGCTTTCCCTTGTGCTCATACTACCAAGTCCACTCCCCTCTTAGCAAAAGCTCAGAAGGAGTATTTTTCTCTGCCAGGCTATAGTTAAGTTCTTTAAAAACATTAAATACTTACAGATGAGGACTCAGATGCGAGATCCACTCTAATACGAAATCCATCTGCAATTTGAGTCCCATTTCTATAAATACGAGAGAAAATGGTTTTTAAAAATGAGCACTGAGTTACTGTAATATTAGCTCTAAAGTAAAACTGGGGAATAAAAAATGTAGCCACACATACTTAAATACAATAATTCTGTGCAAATCTTGAAGAGAGAAAATTACCTTTTCAAGGCTTTTGTGGCAGCACTCTCATCCTTAAACACAACATAAGCATTAATATTTTTCTGATCGGGATGAATTTTACGTCTACACCAAAGAAAAAAGAAAACAAAAATTAATTTGTTAACTTCAAAGTTACTAAATACAGCTTTTTTCCTACTATCAATCAATACATTTAACAAGAAATACTGGCGGAAATTTCATTTCTTTGAATAGCAATAACTCAAAAAGTAGCAATAACTCAAAAAGTAACACGTAACTTATAAAGATATTGGCCCAAACACGTAACCCACCCCTTTTTACAAATCATCACTGTGTGAGAACTGGTAGCCCACCGACACAACACCAATCCCTGAGAACATTAAGGACTAGAAACTCTAATTTCAGTTGCAACTCTGTATCTGGCACACACACAAACAGATGTGAAAGGCAACTTGGAGTTTTTCTCTAACTGTAAAATACAACACACATATAGAAAACTATATAAAAATGTATAGCTTAGTGAATTATTAAAAGGTTAACACCCTAGATGCCTCTCTCTGTGGCCCTTACCAATTACAACCCCTCCCTCTGTCCAAAGCTAACCACCAGAGGCATCAAACAAGTCTGTCCTGGAAGAAGTAGAGCCAGAATGTTCCTTAGAAGCAAGGATGGTGAGACTTTGTCTCACATACTTTGGACACGTTATCAGGAGGGATCAGTCCCTGGAGAAGGGCATCGTGCTTGGTAGACAGTCAGCGAAAAAGAGGAAGACCCTCAATGAGATGGACTGACACAGTGGCTACAACAATGGGCTCAAACATTGCAACGACTGTGAGGATGGCAAAGTACCAAGCAGTGTTTCATTCTGTTGTACTCAGGGTCGCTATGAATCGGAGCCAATTGATAGCACCTAAAAAAACAAGATGTCCAAAGGAACGGTTGCAATTCAAATTTTTCATATAATAAAATTCCCAAAAATGTTTCTAAAGTATATTTTTATATTTTACTAATATAAAGACACTTCTGATTGTTATTCATCATTTTAGGTACCACTAAGAAAGAAAAAACACCCGAGATTGGGAATGAATGAGAAACCCTGCATAAAGCTGAAGGTAAATGAGAAAGGACCATGCCATACAGGAAAGGAGAGTGAGGAAACTTACATGTCTCATCCTTGGCACTCAGGGGAGCCCCTGAGATTTTGAATTTTAAGTCACACTACCAAACCCGCTGCCATCAAGTCAATTCTGACTCATAGCGACCCTACAGAAGAGAGAAGAACTGTCCCATAGGGTTTCCAAGGAGTGGCTGGTGGATTCCAACTGCCGACCATTTGGTTAGCAGCCAAGCTCTTAGCCATTATGCCACCAGAGCTCCCAAATACAGAACTTCAAGCAGTCTTTGGCTGGTGGTATCCCCAGGTGACTGGCAAAAGCAAACAGTCCTCCTCTTTTCAAGGGTCTGACTTCAGGCCAGGCTAACAGCAACTCTGAGGCATCACTGGTTTTAAGGTTCACTGTGATTTCAGAGATGATAAGATGTGGGAAAATGTGTGACTTAGAACTGATAAAATAGAGTATATATGATTTATACTAGAAAATTTGGGCACAAAACTTTTCTTATTCTTTTCCAAAGACTATGTACTAATGAACATGCTTGAAATTTCTCATGGCACATTTTCTAGTAAATTATTTTATATTACATTCTGTGACTCTACAATTCATATCCAGGCTTAAAGACAAGCATTTTACAAATAAATTTATATACTATTACACGCACGAAAAACCAGTCAAATATGATGTATTATCCAATAAATAAAACTTTACGAAGCTGCTAAGAAATGATCTCGGTTTTTAACTAAAATGGAGGAAGAGTTTAAGATCATTACCTTTCTCTAATAAACTTACTTTATTGCTGCCAACTTTTTGGATAAAGTCCCCTCTGCTGGAATCTTTCAGAAGAAAGGAAAAAACATATTTAAAGAAAGTTCGGTATCTGAAATATTACCTCAAATTTATTAAATTTTAATATAAGCCTAAATACCTAACTCTGGTATGTTATGATTAACAACACTGTAGGGAAATAATCAAACCAGAAGCAACTGTCCTGTGTTGTATGAATGGGACCTCATGGCTTAGGTTAAAACTTCCAATGTTAGTATCATAGTCAGATTTAACAGGCAGTGACTCCCAAATAACCTAGATGGAAGTAAAAATAATGTGCTCTCAACCTGTGTCAGATGCCTCAAAGGGGACCCTTGTTATGATGACACCCTGATGGCACATGAAAAATGTGAGTAAAATGGTTTCATGAGTGTAGAAAAAAGCAAAATTTCTAAATCAATATTTTATATCCAATGTGATTTTAAAATCACATTTAAAAACGTGTAACTAAATTGACAAATAATACTTCATTCCTTCTGGAATGATGAAAATGTTTTAGAACTACAGAGAGGTGGTGGTTACACACAACTGTGATGTACTAAATGCCACTAAACTGTTCACTTTAAAATGGTTAATTTTACGTCAATTAACAAAACAAAAATGATACACACCTTGCAGTTCAAAGCCTAGGAGCTTCTATGTATATAAATCACATTTAGGGCTGTTATTATAAATCTCTTTGGAAAACTTATTTTCTGAGTCATTTGATAGTTTATGTAGTAAAACTACCAGATGACTCTTATCTGTTTGTCCTGCTCAAATTGCTAGCATAGAGTCAAACTCTCAAAATACAGGAAGAAAAACAGCACAAGATACACCAGATGAATGACAGTCATCAAAAAAAATTTACAGGGTACCTTCTGTGTGCCCTCAGGGATCTACATCCCATTATTGAAAGATATTAATGAATAAGTATAATACAGGGCAATAAAGTACAAAAGGATTCAGAGGAAAAAATTACCATTTAATGGTATTAAGTATCAGAAAGCTTGAAGAGATGACATTAGCTGCATATTGAAAAGTATACAGTATCTTGATAAGTAAAATGGGACTTTCAAAGAATTTTAGGAAAAGCAAATGAACTGAGCAAAACACCCAAGGTGAGAAGGCCCATGTATATGGTCAATAAAGACAGGACGATACCTGGCTGCTGCAGTTTGTGTGTAGAGGAACAAAGGGCTGGCAACAAAGCTGGACAAGTACAGTGCGGACACCATATGAACTGTTAGGTAAGCACTGAGAACATTATTTCACTAACAGTGAGAATAATTCGAAGTTTTTAGGTAATTCAATATATACTTGGAGCCCTGGTGGCACAATAGTTAAGAACTATGGCTGCTAACCAAAAAGTCAGCAGTTCGAATCCACTAGCCACTTCGTGGAAACTCTATGGGGGCAGTTCTACTCTGCCCTATAGGGCCGCTATGAGTTAGCAACAGGTAATACATATTTAATGAGTACGATGTGCCAGTGCTGGGGACCCAAAGATAAACAAGGCAAACAGTATTTGCAATCACAGTTTATAGTCTGGTGGGGCAATGTCACCAACAATCACAGTAAAGAGTAGTAAGTACTACAACAAAGTATAGGGTGCTATAGAGTGCACAGCAGGGTCACCAAACACGGGTAGTCTAGGGACAGAAGAATCAGGGCAGGCTTCCCAAGGGTGAGAAGGTAATGCCAAGGGGTGTGTGTGTATGTGTGTGAACAGCAGTGGGGGTGGGGAGGTGGGAAGGGGAGGAGCTCCAGGAGGAAGGACTCTAGGAAGATTAAGTTGACACTGGTATGCTGGATAAAGTAGAGGGAGACTGGAGGTGAGAGGCATAATAGGCTCCTGCAACAATTCTGGCAAAAAGTAATGAGAACTTAGGTGGGAAAATATAAAAAGAAAGGAATGACTCATCTAGGAAAGCCACCACAGCTGAAAAACCATCAAGGCTGGCAAATAATGGAATGGATGGGCCAAAGAAGAGTCAAAGGCAACTCCAAATGTGAGTAAGCTTGCAGCCTGGGTGTAAGTAAGTAATATAGAAAATAATAATAAAATAGAAAATCAGTGGGTAGTATAAACTGGGGTGGGGGCAGACAGGGGTAAGCACAGGCATGCTGAAACTGAGGTGCTGGCAGGACATCCGAGTGGACCTGTCAGGTAAGGATTTGATATGTGGAATTGGGACTAAGAAGGACCGACAAAATGCATGTGAAAAAAGCAGAAAACAAACACCATGAAAGCAATTATGGGGACTGTGTCAAAAGCTTGGGAAACATCTATTTTTAGAGCAGTGGGCAATTCTGGAGATGCCCCAGGGACACTGGCAATGTCTGGAGATATTTCTGGTTGTGACAACTTGGGGAAGGGAGTGAGAGTGCTAGTGGCCTCCAGGGGACAGAGGCCAGAGATGCTACTAAACATCCTACAGTATACAGGACAGCACCCAGCACAGAGTCACCCAGCCAAAAATGTCAACAGTATCGAGAATCACATGAGAAAGCAAAGTCAGAAACAAAATAAATATTTCTCGTATTCTAATAAACATTACTTTTTAAAAAAAGGTGCTTAAGAATATACACCATAGTAAGTCAAACAGGGAGTTAAAAAAAAAAATCATGTATAAGAAAACCAAATAATACAAATGATACTTATTTCACTCTCCAGCGACTGAGACTACAACTGGCCTACCGAGTGTTTAACTGGTAAAATCAATACTACTCACTTGTATAAAGTTTTAACATTAAACTGATTTAAAAAAAAAAACAAAAAAAACTTCATCTGTCTGTGCTCATCAGTGTTGCTGGTAGCAGACACACAAACTTACCCTACTGAATTGACAAAATACATATGATGGGAACATAGTGGATGGACATAGGACATATGATGGGAATGCATGATTCTGGAAATGCTATTCAGTAAGTATAACTTCTCTGTTTACTGAATGGACACAGCAAACAAAAGTCACCCATCCACCTTCCAAAGAACATTGTTGGTCTTAGTAACAAAGACAGAATTTTATCAATGTGAACTCATTAAATTGTTTAACAAAGTCCAAGAGTCAGCAATAGACATAAGAGCAACTCTTCTTTTGGGATAGATTTGAACCTGTTGATTCTAACGGTTAAAGTCAAGTGCTACTCCCACTAATACCAAGAAGCTAATAATCTGATTTAAATGTAATAGTTTTAAGACTATGCAATTTTAAGGGAGGGAGGAGGACTTACCAGAGAACGAAATCGTACAGATTCTATTTGTCCATACTGTTTAAAAAAAGACTTCAGCTTCTAAAAAAAAAAAATACATATACTTTCAGTCCATCAATTAAGTAGTACAAAAATGAAGTAAGTAAAACTGCTTGATAATTTCTACTAACAATTTTTATTTTAGAACTCTTTCAGGAGAAGTAGGTGACTATTTAGTTGTATAGACAAAAAAATATTTACTGAAACTTATATAAAAGGAAAACACAATTCAAGTTCATATTACTATCCACGAGGTACACAACATTTTTGTCTTATCTTCTACAATCTTTAACTACCGTATCTAAATTAAGGTTAGACTTGTATTTTCCATAGATTCTGTCATCTTTTCACTATAGCTTAAACCAGACATGAATCTTAAGGATGTTTATGTCACTATGAGGAATTTTCCAACTGTTAAGAATTGAGAACATCAGATTCAGGGAAAGCTTATAGGGCAAGTTTTATACATTATTCTTATGACTGGCTCAAATGTATTACAGTCAGGGCAACAATTTCTACAACCAAGTCTAATTCAAAAACAATTTAATCAATGGTTACAATTTGTGCAAAGCACCATACACAGTCCTTTCTCTTGAGCCCCTTATAATCTAATAGGAAACAGAAAAATCAATAAGCAAAAATATGCTATAAAACAAATTGTATGATGTCCTACAAAATAATGATGACTCAAATTCTAGGAGATGAGAGGGCAACGGGGAAAGGGAGAAGTTAGGAAGTTTTCTGTACTGTTTGCTTTTTCAGGAATTGTAATTTAAATTATACTTCAAAAGATGAGCAGGATTTTGATCCAAGTGATTGCCAACACAGTGTCATATGAAAACACAGAAAATTAAGGCCATGTTTTTGGTTTGGTGAAGCCCAAATAATGGAAGAAACTTAGGATGTAGTCATTCATTTACATAATAAACATTTATTGAATCCCTGCTACGTGCTAAAGGAACCCTGGTTGCGCAACGGCTGCTAACTGAAAGGTTGGTGGTTCAAATCCACTCAGCAGCTCTGCAGGAGAAAGAACTGATGATCTGCTCCCGTAAAGATTACAGCCAAGAAAACTCTAGGGGGCAGTTCTATTCTGTCACATGGGGTCAGCATGAGTCGAAAATCAACTTGACGGCACATAGCAACAACAACTATGCGCTAGGCACCCTTTCAGGTACAGAGCGTACATAGAGCAGTAAAGATATAAATAAATATCCCTGCACATATGGGGCTTATGCTTTAGTGCTTCTATGAAAGTCACCACAATAATTCAAATAAGGTTTACAAAAGCCTGAATTAGGACAGTAACTACAGGAATGGAAAGGAGGGGGTGGACAGTAGAATCTATTACAGAGCAATTTATGTAGTTACTTATAATGAAGTTATCTATCCATGATTAATTACGCACATACTCAATAAAGGAAGAGTAAACAAAGTTACAAATGATTAACTCCTCTGAATTTTTACAATATACAAACCATAAACTCACCTTCTTATTACATGTGACAGGCAAATTACCAACAAACACAGTTCTCTCGTTCTTTAATCTCTCTTCTTCTTGGTTGACTTGAATTTTCTTTCTTTGATTTACAACAATGTGATCTACATTATTAGGTACTTTTGTATCTGCTGCTCTAACACCACCACCAGATTGAGAGCTTCTCCTTTTCTGCCCGTGTTCCTGGTGAATTTCTTCTTCTTCTAAATCAGCACATGCTAGAGCACTTTCCCTTTTTAATGCAAAACAAAAGAAAGAAAGAAATAAGAGTCATGGAAGTCAGGTCTAGTATTTGACAAACACAGTTTATAAATGGATACTCTCTATGATTAGAAATATTTCCGACTACCCTGGCTTTTCTAAATATTAATTTACAATTCACAAATATATCTAACATTTAAAAGTAACATTTTCTACAAAGTGGCTAGTATTTTTAGAAAACAAATTTTTCAACTTAAAAGAGTTAGAAAAAGTTAAGCTCAACTTTTAAAGACATGCCAGAACCACCAGGTAGAGCGCAGCTGCTCTAGAACTTTAAAAGGTTTGTAGCACTATTTTAAATGGTGGCCCAGGGGGTCTAAAAGGCTTATTAAACCTGCAAAATACTTACTTTGTAAAAGTAGTATGGCCAATAGGAAAAAACAGATTTCCTACTTTTAATAGTTCTATAACATTTAAAGAGCTGCTTATCAAAAATAAATTCTGAAACGGCAAGTTTAATATAAAGTTCTGGCTCCCCTGGATAAGTAAGGTCTGAGTGTCAGTCCAAAAAGAGAACTAGATGGGGATCCTAGGGAGTGAGAGGAGAGAATGGGTAGCAGTAGTCATAAAAATGACTGATTCGTTCAACAAACATTCACTGGGTTCCTATTCAGTTCTAGCCTCTGGAGATATAAAGACACCATCTAAGGGTTTTCAACAGTTTAGCTCACTGTTGCTGGGTACCGTCAAGTCAATCCTGGCCCCATGTGACAGAGCAGAACTGCACTATAGGGTTTCCTTGGCTATAATTTTTATGGAAAGCAGATCACCATGTCTTTCTCCCTCGGAGCCACTGGGTGGGTTCAAACCACCAATCTTTAGGTTAGCAGCAGAGCGCTTAACCATTGTACCACCAGGGTTCGTGACCCACTAGACAAGCAAAATTCAAAATAAAATGGTAACTGTTATAATACACAGTATGGGAATATAAAAGGAAGAACATGCCTGGAAAAACAAGGAAATTTTCTCAGAAGAGCAGTGCCTGATACATAGTCTGTCCTCAATAAATCTTGACTGATTACTTCTCCAGTAGATCCTAAGCTACAATAAAAAGAGGGACCGTGTCTAGTTTTTGGTTCATGATGGTATATAAAATATCTAGCAGGAGTGAAAGAAAAGGAGACAGTATGGTAAGGTGGGAACCAGGTCAAGAAGAGCCTTGCCTGTTACGCAAAGCTACTTAGATTTTATCCTACAGAAGATTGGGGGAGGGGGGCATTGAGAATTTTGAGCAATGCCTACAAAAAGATCATTTGGGCAGCAGAGTGGAAGATAATTAGGAAGCGTTGAGCAAGGGTGGAGAAGAGAGAGCCAGTATAGAGACCGTTAACAATGGTGTGTATCTGAGAAGACAACAGGCAAATCAGAGCAGGGGAGAAGGTGTGAAGGAGAAGACAGATTTAAGAGAAAATTAAAAGACAGCATCATCAGGAGTTGATATCTGAATACATATGCAGGGAGAGGAAAGGGGACAGGAAGACTCCTGGGTCACTAGCGTAGACATCTAGAAGAATGGCGGTACCAAAAGAACCAGTTTGATGAGAATGATAACATCAGTTTGAAGCATTCTGAATTTGAAGTGTATGTGGAACATACAGGAGCAGGTGCCAGTAGGCAAACAGATATACAGATCTGGAGATTAGGAGAGAGGCTGCCCAGAACAAAAGGAGAGAAAAGGTCGTAAGAAGATGACCAAGAACAGAATCTTGAAGAAAATCAACATTAAGGAGTGGGCAGAAGAAAAGGTGCCAATGACAATACACTAAGAAGGACCAGACAAACATGAGGAGTAGAATCAGAAGAGACTGCTATCAGAGACTTCAATAGCTTCAGAAGAAAAGCAGTTATCTCAAATGTAACAGAGGACTTGTAAGGCCAAGGCTATTCGGCTGATCAAATATGACAACTAGGTAGGGCTGGCCTCCCTGAGCACCATTTCAGGAGTATGGTCAGAGTAAAAAGTAAAAACTAAAACAAAACCAAAAAATAACCAGACAGCAAGTGTGCAGAACAATAAAGAGATCAAGAAAAGGTGAGCAAGTATAGACAACTTCTTAAGTTTGACTATAAGGCAAAGGATTGAGGGAAGGATAGCAAACAGATAGATGACTGTAGACAGGATTTTACTTTTTTTTTTTAGGGGGGAAAGGTGGGTTCTTTTTCTAAAATAAGAATCTTCAGCATGTCTATATGGTAGAAGGATTGACAATACAGCAAAAAGGAGAAAACAGATGTATGTGGTGGCCGGCCCAATTCCTGGAAAGGCAGAAGAACAAGTATGTGGAATACATGCACAGATGGTTGAATAATTGTGGGTAAGAAAGAAGACGGTATTCTCTGAGAAAAGGGGGAAGAAATTAAGGATGTACATAGATATAGTAAGGTTGCTGGTGATTCAGTGGTAGAATTCTACCTCCCATGTGGGAGATGTGGGTTCAATTCTTAGCCAATACACCTCAAGGGCAGTCAACAACCATCTGTCAGTATGGCTTGCATGTTGCTAAGATACTGAACAGGTTTCAGAGGAGCTTCCAGACTAAGAAAAACTAAGAGGAAAAGCCTGGAGATCTACTTCCGAAAATCAACCAGGAAAAACCCTATGGATCAGAACAGTATGATCATAACTGATCACGGGTATGATGTAGGAATGGGTTGTACATAGGGTGACCATGAGTCTGGGCCCGACTTCACGGCAGCTAACAACATAGATATAGAAAGTTTAAGTAAGAGGACGAAACGTGGAAGTTCACAACTGTTATCAATTAACAGCTCTTTCAATAGGTTAACAAAGTCATCTGCTAAGAGAGAGAGGAGGGAAAAGGAAATAAGGGACTTGAAGAGAGTGACAAACATGGAAAAGCTGGTAACAGGATGGAGGAAGGCAAACTAGGATCACATGGTGGCACTGCTAAGCAGCAGAGGGTGCACCTAACTGGACACCCTACATCTTTTGTGGCAATGGAAGGAAAGAGTGGGAGAGCTACCGCATGGCTTAGACTCAGAAAACATATACTGACCAATTGTAATGCATGTATATTTGGATCCTGATTCAAATAAGCAAACTGTGTTTAAAAAAAAAAAAAACTAAGTTAACAGCAGAAATTTGGTCCCTGAATTTAGTTTAAGAACACCAAACTCATCATATACACTAAAATATTTGTAAATGAACCAGTAAATCTTAGATCTGCTTCCAAATAATGAGGGAGATATAAGTGGGAGTAAAGATGAATCAAGATGGACCAAGCATTAATTGCTGATGCTGGGTACATGGGGTTCATTATCCTTTTCAAATTCTGTACAGGTATGACATTTCTCATAATAAAAAAATTTTAAAAGAAATTACTAGAAATACGAAATGAGAAAAAGATTAAGACAATTATTGCAGTATAGGAATTTTAATTTCTTTAACATCAAGCAAGAGAGAATGAGAGAGTTGACAGACCTGTTTGCCAATTTTTTGTCTGCATCAGAAAGTTTCTTCTTCACTTTTTTTTTTGCAGGTTCTTGCAAATGTGGTTTCTGAATTTGGGGTGTAATTTCTTCCACCTCATCCTGCTTCCTTTTTTTGGTGGCTTCCTTTTAAAAGTTGAAGTTATGTTTGAGACCTCATCCTTTAAAATTCTGAACCTACGCGATAGTTTAATGATCTTTCTAAATTAGCATCTTTACTCTCTACAGGTATGTCCAGTAACAAAAGGTTACTTAAAATTAATCTTATCTGCCCCAGGTCCCCAACAGCACTTTCGAAACTATGCCCTGCATGGTAAATCGACAGGTAAGGCTTGCTTATCTTAAAGCTGTTCTAACAGAAGATCCGTCATAGAATCCAGTGACTTACTTTAGGCACAGGCACGTACACGGGTTTAACTGGAGACTCAAAAGAGCTAAAGAGGGACGCCAGGCGATCTGTGTTACCTCTGGACAGGCGCTTACTGTGAAATAAGCTATTGGCGACTTGTCCAACGAGATAGTCTCCAGTCAGATTCCCACGAAAGCTGTCGTCAGGGTTCTCTCTGGAAATGAACACCAGAAACTCAAGTGACGCCACTCCACGGCCCGTCGCTTCCGCCCTCCCGAACTCCCGAATGCACAACGACCTTGCCCAGGCAGACGTTCCGTGTACCACTCACCTCTGCTCAGCATTTTTCTTTTTCTTCCGTTTATTCCTCACTTCCAAGGCCATTCTGATTCCAAGGCTTCCTACAGAGGAGCGGCACATGAACCCGCACTTCCGAGTCCCAGAACTTCCGCTTCCGCGCCCGGCAGTCTCTGCGGCCGCGTCTTTGAGCTGGCGGTACCTCGCAGGAGCCAGGGAGCTCAGGAGCGCTGTTTGTCCTAGTCGCCTCGCTGTTTCAGGAACACCTACTCTTGGGAAGTGAAAGAAGTCTTCCTAAAGTAGTTGAGACCTGACTTCTGAGTTAGAATCATCCAGGCTGGGTGATCGGGAGTGGGGTGTCAATGCAAGCAGAGGGAAAAACGAACCAAAATGCCGAAGCACGAGGGTAAGGGTACGTGTTATTCATCAATGGCAGGGCACTCTGTACCTAGTGAATATTTGCTAAATTGACTTTTGGGTGACAAGAAGCGAGAAAAGATTACTAGATAAATCATTGAATTCAATAGCATTGGTAGCAAAATAATTAGCATTTGATTTTACTCTTTAGGACCAGCCTTGCTTTTTGAAAGCTTCTTAACAGGACTGACAGGGAATATATGTGACCTTTTATAGCCCACATCACATATGTTGAAAAAAGCCACAATATTGAACTGCTTGGCCCTGGTTTTGATTTCTAAGCCTTTAATTTTGGTTTCCCTTAATCTTGATCTGGTATTTCATAAACAGAAAAAACCAATTATCCGTTATTTCAACTTAAGCATCTGCACCTGCTCTACCCAGTCCAATGAAGAAATTCTATTCATTTTTCTTTCAAAACGCCTCTCAATCTCATTCCTTCTCTCCCTAACATTCCAAGAGTCACCTCATATCTGGATCACTGCAACCTCTGGCCTTCCTAGTCTTCCTCCTCCAGTCTAGCCTACATACTCCATTTCCAGATGAGTCTCTGTTGTTGGTTTAAGGTTTGCCATGATGTCACCATCAGTCATCACAACTCTTGTATGTGCATACGCCACCCTCTTTAAACTCTTAGCACTTACTCTTCCTGGCCATACAGTTTAGCATTTAATTTTATTATGTCTTATATTATTCTCACAACTAAACCATGAAACTCTTTCCTCGAGGATTACATCTTGTACATACATTCCTCATATGATGTTAGTGCCATTCTTATTTATTCTGATTGATGGATGCAGAGTTCGTGGGGAAAACTCACACATACTTAAGTGTTCCTAGAGAGGATCCAGAGAGAGTGTTCATTGCTGGGGAGAGTGCTACTCAGGACCAAAAACTCCTAAACAGCATGTAAAAATTAGGACTAGAAAGATGAGGAAATGGATTTACAAAGAATGAATGGCAGCATATACTTACAAAGGAAAATAAAATTATTAGTATGAAGGCTGTGATTGGAGATAGTTAAAAAATTAGCCTTACTGCCATTCAAAACTGGTTTTTAACCTTAGTAGGGATCACGAACCCCTCTGAGTTTCTTAAAATATAAGGACTTTTGATAGAAAAATACAGAAAAACAGTTTTGCAAAAAAATGTCAGGGGTTTCATACTCCACCTCTCCCAACGCCCTTAACATAACTAGTTGCCATCAAGTCTGATTCTGACTCATAGCGACCCTACAGGACAGAGTAGAACTGCCCCGTAGGGTTTCCAAGGAGTGCCTGGTGGACTCAAACTGTCAACCTTTTGGTTAGCTGGTTAGCAGCCGTAGCTCTTAACTACTACACCACCAGGGTTTCCCCAACACCCTTAGGTTAAGAAAATTAACAAAACCACACCCTAAGTATTTCAAGTAGGGAAAAAAGGACTTGCGGAACACTGTGTAAGGAATATAATTGTTGTGTGCCATCCAATTGATTTTGACTCATAGCAGCCCTTTATGAGAGTAGAACTGCCCCATAAGGTTTCCTAGCCTGTAGTCTTTACTGGAGCAGGTCTTTTTCTCCATCCTGCCTCTAGCTGAAAATTTGCATTTCTACCCCAGGTATACTGAATTATAATCTATGTTTTAACCAGATACCCAGGTGATTCTTATGTATAACTTCCTAGGAACTTGTTAGAAATGCAGATACTCAGCAGGGGTTGTTGGAAGCCTTGGTTCAAACTGCTGACCTTTTTTGGCTAGCAAAAAGGTCAGCGGCCGAGTGCTTAGCTATTGCTCCACCAGGGCTCATGAAGGAACCTATGTTGTTTATCAGATTATTGAAAAGTAGCTTGATAAAATGTAGTTTAGGTGACCAGGGGGAGACTTAAGTCAAATTCTAATTATTCCTTGAAATTCTCAAATCCTCTGGAAGAGCTGGGATGAAGGGGGCTGTGGGGGAGGCAGGCAAGAGGACAGAGAATCATTCCCCTACAGAGCACTGTTTCTGTAACACCGTTTAGATGGTATCAGGAGTTTCTTGAAAAAGAAAGTTACACCATCAGTTAAGATTGAAAACACTAAAGCAAAGGAAGTTAATCAGGTGTGTCTTGACAGGCTTCTCAAAGTTTTTAATACTCTAACATTATGTATCTCTAAGAGGAGCCCTTGTGGCATAGTAGTTAAGAACTATGGCTCCTGACCAAAAGTCAGCAGTTCGAATCCACCAGGTGCTCTTTGAAAATCCTATGGAGCAGTTCTACTGTTGGAATTGACTTGATGGTAACAGGTTTTTTTGTTTTTTTTTAAGAGGAGCCCTGGTGGTTCAATGGTTATGTGCTCTGCTGCTAACTAAAGGTTGGTAGTTTGACCTCACAGAGCATCTCCCCTGGAGAAAGACCTGGAGGCCCGCTCCTGAAAGATTACAACCTAGAAAACCCTGTGGGGCTGGTTATACTGTCCAAAAGATATTAAAATCCTAACCCCTAGTACCTGTCCATGTGACCTTATTTGGAAATAGCATTTTTGCAGATGTAATTAGTTAACATGAGGTTATACAAGTAGTACCCGACTTACAATATACTGGAGTCACGACTAACCGCACTTAAGACCGTCCTTTTTTTTTTTTTTATGATTTGTGTATTTTTTTATGTGTGTATTAAAAAATATCTGTAAGGTTGTATGTAATGTTTCCAACCCCGCAAAGACGAAGATTGGATTTATAAAAATACTGATAATAAAAAGCAATAATAAGGAAAACTAAAAAAAAAGGTATTTGACTTAAAACTAACAACTGAGTTGTCAGAACAGAACCTCATTATAAGTTGGTGACTGTCTGTACTGGAATAGGGTGGGCCCTAATCCAATATGATTGATGTCCTTATAAAAAGAAGATACATGGACACACACGGAAGAACACAATGTAACGACAGAGGCAGAGATTAGACTGCTGTATCCACAAGCCATGGACACCAGGGATTGCAGGAAACCATGGGAAGCCAGGAAAGAGGTATGGAACAGATTCTCCCTCATAGTCCTCAGAAGGAATCAAGTCAAACAACACCTTGATCTCGGACTCCTGGACTCCAGAACTACAGGAGAAAAAATTTCTGTTGTTTTAAGCTACCTGGTTTGTGGTATGTTGTTATAGCAGTCTTTGGAAACTAGTACAAGGCCACTCCCAAAGATGCTTTAAAAATAGTTGGGTTTTTTTGCCTTGAAAAAATTTTTTTCACTCTTTTTTCATTTTAAAGAAAGTATTTTCTTTTTGTAGAAAGTCCAATAGGGTTAAAAAAAAAAAAAAATTCCCAAACTAATTATTGATTTTTAAGTTTTGAGGTAGAGCAGTGGTTCTCACCCCAGATGCATATTAAAATCACTGGAGACCTTTAAAAAGACTCTTTGGGGGTGGGGACTGAGCACTGACTACTATTTTAACAGTGCCCAGGTGACTCTAATATGCAATGGTGTAGAGCACACTAGAGTTAAGTAGGAAACCTACATAAGTCCAGTTAAATAGAAAGACTGAAAAATAAATAACAAAGGGCTGCTGGCAATGGTTTCAAGTGTCAAAAAAATTAAAAACTTGATTTTCTTTAGACAGACCTCCAAAGTCATAAGAAAAATATTTACATTCAGACTCAAGAAAATAGCATATACAAAGATGTAAGAAGCCTCAAAAAGTTCTTATTATCTGGTTAACGGACTTTTAATTTTTATAGGTAGAATATTCCCTTTATTTCATATGTCAGTTAACCCCTGTGATAATACTTGCTGGATATATATGTTCCAGTCAGTCATCATATACAGAAATAAGCTAAAATTACTTAATTTTTTAGAAACAAAACCAAGGATTCACAAACTATGGCATTTTATTTCAGCGCCTTTGCTTACATTTGTACAATATATTACATAATTCTCCATTGTTTGCAGATTCTAGTATATACTTTATAGCTTTTATTCTATAAGCTTTTTGTTCAACGTTTTGCTGTCAACAAATCTTTACAGTCCTGTACAAATTTGAGTAACTTGAAACCATTTTCAACAAAATTAGTTACTGTAAGCACACACTACAAGACTGAAAATGCTTTTCTTAGAAAAGTTGAATGTAAAGGATTCTGACACATCAGCATGTACAACAAAACGCTTTGAAAATCTCACATCATATTGCCAGAAAACAAATAAACATGCCAGCCCCATCCAAGAAAAGTACACAGAACTACAATTAAAACAGTAAAACAGTCTGTACAATAAAGTACTGTGTATTAACAGTGCCAGGTGTTAAATAGCTTGAATGAACACATCCGCAATATACAAATGTCTTACAAAGGTTTAGAATTAAATACAAGTGCCAACAGAACAAATGTTGGAATCATACAACATAAAGTCAATACAAGTGAAAACAATTTTATGTTCATTTTGGATTTTATACTAAGCATTTAATTTTTTAGGCCTACTAACCAGATTAGCTATTTATATTTAAAATAACAACCATCCTTTTGAGACAGTTCATATCAACAACCTTGAACCATACTTACACAGTTTACTTGTTCCCGAAGTCCTCTCATTGTAGCTCATAATAAAATAATACAAATGAATTATCTGTATTTAAGGGAAAAGAAACATTTACAAGAAAACACAAAAATATAACTGTTATAATTTATGATGAATAAATATACACTTTGAACTGGCTAAGTACAATCTTTATACATTGTTTTAAGATTTAATACAGTTTATTAGCCATTTTCTTTTTTCACACAATGTATTATATCAAAATTAAAAAAAAATACTGATTCATAGAAAAATGGCAAAGTACAGTAGTTCCATTCCA